ATCAAATCCTTTTGTTCTGAGACCGATTTAGCGACGAATACAGAGGGCTCTTGCTGGACAAAAGAATGCACCTCTGGCTACAGCCGTCCCAGCTAGAATTCCGTCTTTCGTCTGGTCATTAGGTATGAGAGTGGATCCAAGATATTTAAATTCTGACATCTTTTGAACATTTGATGAATTTATATAGATTTCAATCTTGTCAGCATCTGGATATATAAGACAAAAAAATTTCGCCTTATTTATATTGATTTAAAGGCCAGTTTTCGATGAGTCCTGTCGAGACGCGGCCTTGCACCTATTGTAATTCTTCCTAGTTGTCAGCAAGAAGAACTAGACCATCAGTGTATTTAAGGTTCATGACGCTATCTTCTGGACTAATTTGTACTCGTTATTATATTTTTTAGTGCAAACGGTGTCCATAAGCCAGTCTATTGCATAATTTGTAAGGAAAAGAAGGCAATTTTAACGCATACCGTTACTCATTTATACGTTTTTCAAAAAATTGTATCAATATCAATTACACACATACACAAACGTGCGCTGACGCACGCCGATAAAATGTTTTGATAAATATGATTATCTTCTCTGGAATACCATCGTATTACTTATCAGTGCCATTCTAGCAATCGAATCAAAAGAGCAACAAAATTGACGAAGCACAATATGTTGCCGTTATGTACTTGATGTTACAATGTTCCATTACCCTTTCTCAGCGTGAAATATTTGCTCAACGCTATCACATCCTGGTATAAATCCAGTTTGATTACGGCACACTGCCATAAGCTTACTTAGCAGAAAGAAGGCAGAAATATTTATCCCTCATAAATCAGTGAATATAATTCTTTGGTGGTGCCTTATGAATGATGTTCTATTGGTCTTAAGCTTATGAATTACAGAGATTATTTTGTTCTCGGTTGATAATTGCAATCGTACTGCTCCAAATGCGTTCCAATCGTGTCCGTCGTGGTAGTAGTAACAGTAAGAGAGCATTTACCATCATTAGTTACACTCGCTGCTCTGGCTTGATAAATGGTTTCTTGGGGATACTGGGAAGCATAGATGAGTTGCCAGCATCATCCGGATTTTTGGATTGGTTCACTCGTGCCATGGGTAGAACTTCAGTATCGGTGTGTCGATTTGAGCAACAGTCTACTAGCTTTCCACTGTTTTTCTCCGTTAGGCGACACTGAATATGGTGCCTTGACCGATTCGAAGCCAAATCTCAATTCTCGGTGGCATTTTCTTGCCACTGAACCACAGTGTTCATCATGCTAAAATGAGATTCCAAAAAATTCATTCCACCTCGAGCTGCGGTTGCATACCGAAATAGGCGAAATAATTTTCGTCCAACATCTGCTGTCTCCATATTCAAATCCATACCAAGCCTTTCATAACACGTGCTCTAGTGTCGAGATCGGGAAGAGATACAGACAGCTGGGCCATTCTGTCTGAACCTACGTTGCCTTCTTTAAAGCTGTATCCTAGGAGGATTTAGCACTCCTAGAGATAGATCTTCAACTGAGACCACTGTTCCTCGACAGTTTCAGTGGTGCCAATGTTGTTTTAGTTCTTTACACGCTTCAGTATCTAACTTTGAAATATGCTGACTATTCTTAAACCTTTAAACCTGAGATAATCAAAAGTTTTTAGGGATGTTTTCTGTGTTGTTTCACTTGGACCTTGGCTCCATAATGTCCGGCTTTAGGAGGTTGCCAATTTCGACTTCACAATATGCGCCATCATCTGGTACAGAACTCATTCATCAGTTGACCAAAATATAGTCAGTATAATTGAAGTGTCGATTGTCTGCCAAGTTCCATTAACTAGACGTCTTCCACTGAAACATAGCAGGTCCCAACGCTATTCTTGGTGGCCACAGAAGATAGTGGGACAACTTCACATCCTAATATCGCGCTTAAATTTCCAACGATCACATCGTTTTTTTTGGAAAAGATGCTAATAGCAAGCTAAGCTCAGCATAGAATCAAGATAGTTCATATAAATTATCTATGCGCAGCCAGAAGCGTAAATATTAATGACTGAGATTTGCAAAAATTACTTTTAAATCGAGCTTAGACCAACCGATTTTTAACGATTATGGCTGATGCCATTTTGTACTCGGCAATCTCAACTTCATTTCTGCGAGTTGACAAAAACACCATTCAATAACACCAGTCATCTTAATTCTTATCCGAACTATATTTGGCTACTGAATTAGAATAGATTTCTGATATGCAAGCGAAATCCATACGATATTTGGACCCGGTGTGGATGGTTATTACCTATCTCGCTATATTCGTTCCATTTAGTCTCGTAATTACACAGCCAGCTGAAATCAGTCTAATTTTCTTAAATAAATAAAAGCAGTTCCTTCAGCTCGAGAATTTACAAGGCCATTTTTAATATTGCTATATTGCTATTATTATATTCGAGCCCGGTTCCACTATCGGATTAGGCATGAGCGTCAGAATACACAGATGCCATTTCATATTTGCTTATTCATTCACCATAGATTCAATTGGTAATAGCGGCACAGGTGGGTTCTCAAAAACAACATTCACCATTTCTGGTTTGGCTAGCTACACTGTCTGCTAAGATGAGATCTTTTCGTAAGTGAGTCATCTGGTGATAGAAGCGCATACTTTTGCTTTTGATAACAAGCTTCTTCCACTCAATGACGGGAATCGATGATATGCTTACCTTACTTAAAAATAATATGCCAGCCGAACATCATGCCAGAATAATAGTTATATAATATATAGCAAAATTTTTGGATATACGTCACCAGCATAACAAACAAACATAGCGTGGTAACTCCTTATGCTTTTAATAAAACGCAAAAGCTCAAACAATTGAACCACATTGATACGTAATATGTTTTAGTCCCAGGATTTGAACACATACGACCACTGGACTGACTCACTCAACCAACAGAACTCATGGCCTAGAGCGATGTGCGGTGGTTACCAGTAAAGCCTTTAATTATTATTCTAATTTTAAATGAACTGCATTCTCGTATAAGTGAACTTGTAAACTTGTCTTTAAATCCCAACTAAATAACCTAAAATTGCATTCGTTTAGAAATTCAAAATATTCTGGTTTTTGTATGACTAATATTTTAAGTTCAATATTACTCAAAACAATGATGGGTTCTGATCTGGCCATTACAACAAACCGATCGCGATCCCAATTAATGCTTATCATGAAAACCTTGAAATTTTGTAGAACTATCACTGTAACTTCCAATCATAACTCCGTTCAAGAATTTTTGCCGAAAGAAGAAAATAGTTCTACTGAACTGCAATTTTTATAAAAACAAAATTTATTCATCATTGCCATTTGTATTAAGGCTCCTAATAATTCTTGCCATTTTTCGTTGTCTGAATTCCGCTATTGAGGCGTTTCCAATATAGAAAGAATCTATACCTCTATGCTACACAGTATTTGACTGATATAATGAAACTAAATAAAGAAATACAACTGGTTCGTGAAATTCATTCCCGGAAATATGGATTTCGAAGGAATCTCATGTTGCGGATGATTCCCAAGTTCTACAGACGGATCTCCGAAGGACATGTCTCCGAAGGACATGGAGGCTGTTCCCAGAAGTTGTGCAGATTTAGCACAACAGTTGGTGTTTCATGTACTTGTGAAAACAGGTGTATGCAATAGGCAAAAAAAAAATCTTGACAAATTTGAATCTCAATAATATTTTATTTTTCATGTTAATATTGTTGCTAATACAACACAAAACTGGGCTATTCTTGCAACAAAATTTTTCCTTGAAAAATGAGTTCTACATTACAAGGAAAATTGTACAATAATGAACCAAAATGGCAAAAGTCGATCTTCATTCGAAGACCGCTCAGTATTTGCAGCGCTTGAAAGAGTGATCTGCTGCAACACCTTAAAACCTAATGTAATGATAGCAGAAAAATATACCATCATTCTGCATAATAATACTAGACCATGCATTGGAAAAACTATTTTGCAAACTAATTTGCCGAACTGAATATCGAAGTTCTCTCCCACCAGCCATATTCCCCAGGCCTTTTACCACCTTCAACGCAATTTCCTGAGAAAAACTAAATGATCCTGAAATCATCTTCCAGCAGTTTATTCATTCTAAAAATTACAATTTTGCAAATGGAAGAAATGCACTTGTACAACGTTCGCTAAGATAGCGAAATTTATTTTGAATAAAAGTATATTTAACTTGTGATCAGCAACAGATAACGGCAATAACTTTTAGGATAAACTGATAAATGGTTTTATGGAGGAAAGAAGTTCACTGTTTCATAAGCTATGAAAAAATTTTGAATGAAAATATTTGAACAAAAAAGAGATTTCTTCTGATTTTCAATCAGTTAAAATTTTTTTTAACTGAATAAATTTTGCAATAAACGTAAAATAAAGATTTCGTATTATTCATTCATTCACATTACATAATACTTGCAATGCAAAATAAATTATTTTAATCATAAAAAGTAAATGAAAGCAACTGATAAAATTTCAACTAATAAAATCTTATTAAGTTAAAAAAAGCAATTAATGCTCACTTTTTCTGCCTAAACTAATTCCACCAGCTGTTACTACGTCATTTAAAAAAAAATTTTTTGCTTGGCAATAGATCGGTGATCGGTCACCAAAGCCACTTGGAAAAAAAAATGTGATGCTAATATATTATTCTATTCACTTACTCAATTTAAGTTATAAATACTTCCGAAGATTCCCTTGTTATAAATACCTGAAAAAAGTTGGGAAAAATTCATTAAAGCCATAAAAAAAAGGAAAAAAAGAGCGATTAATGAAGCTAAACAAAAAAGGAGAGTATTACAAAAATGATATTTTATTTTATATCATAAAGCTTATAAACTGATGAAAATTAGTCCTTAAATTCTCGAAAAAAATACAACGATTGTTAAGACTGCAAATTTTTTAGAACAGAAAGGAGCATCAACTTACACTCTAGAATGGAAAGAAACCCATTTTTTAGAAAATCACAATAAACGAACTGTTTCTAAACAATGAGGATCTGTATCGGAAGATGGATCTGTATCAACTGAATCCACCTGATTATCATCGTATTCCGTCAACAAGTGAATCGAACAGATATGTCTCCCACTGATCATCGTTAAGCCGATAGTGCGAATTTCACTCTCACCTTTCCAACGCTCCTGAAATTAAACATTTTCAAACCAAATTAAAATTTTAGTGAAAAAAATGGGATTGGCTCATAAAAATTTCCACTTCAATTTAGCAATAAGTTTTTCATCAATTTTTCAATAAGCACCAAATATACTCCTCAAAATGTTCCCGTTGAATAATGATTCTGTAGCATTTAAAGTTTGTCCCTTGAGATAATTTATATTTGCTAAATGCAGCCGATTAGAGGAAGGCAAAAAATCGATTCATCCAGACAATCTTCCATAAATCGCTTAAACTTTTGTAGTTACAATTTACTTTCGCTTTTAATTATTGGTCCAAAAAAATTGCTTTTTTCATTACTTGAAGAGAATTTTCTCAATAATATTTGAAAAACTGATGAAACAAACCAGTATTCAACGATTATCCGATTCGCAGCCAGACTCATTTACTCTTTAACGCTAATATAACAAGGCAATGCGATATAATAATCATGTTAACAATAAGCATCAAACTTACTTTGGTACCGCTTAAAATGATATTTGGAACGCTGTCCGTGCACATAAACTCCCCTTCGACAATACGACCATCGCTCATTTCAATCCTTAATTTTTTTCCAAGCCATTTGCTAACATTACTTTTACTTTCTGCACAATTCGCTGTGCTATATTCACCATCCATTCGCTGTGAACTATATTTTTAAGGAACTATGCTGAAAGAAATAACTGACTTTTTCTTCACATGAAGCACTTACGCTTTTTAGGCCATAAGAGATGACATAGAAGTAAATGAAAATAACGAATCAATTCGGCTAAAGAATAGAATCCACACGAAGAGAAATACAGCGAAGGGAAAAAATAAGGAACGCATGGAAATTATAACCTTTCGCCAGCTTTATTCGTATTACCGAGAAGTACCAAGATAATTAGTCGGTCGAATTTCTACAACTAATTAATTTACAACCGAATAAAATTTTTTACCAACACACAAAGTCAACCTGAAAATTCCGAGCTAATAAATCACCCACTATTTTGCGGCTTTACCGATTTTTTATGGAACTTGGCCGTATCAGCAGCTTTGCAGATTTTTCATGGATTTTCAATTTTTAATGAAACCAAAGATTCGAAATATGTGGATGAGTCGGGCAAAGAAGAACGGCTTGGAATTTTCAACGATTCCCAATTTAATTTCTGACTAGCGCTTCGTTTCAATTCATTTGGCTTTGACATCGATCATTCATTTCATCTGATATTTGCACCAATGTCATGCCAAATAGCAAAAGCAAATATGTAAAATACATCCAAAGACTGCTTACTGAAATATACCCACGTGGATAATTAACAGTGTTGGAGTCGGCCGTGGCCGTGATTTCTCTTCGAGGGAAAGGCGGTCCATTTCTTTTCAAAAAGTCATCGACTTTCAATATCCTGAGACTTCCCGGTGGTCGGAACTTAATTTGTTTATTCGCATTTCTTGTTGGTTTGTTTTTTTGTAAAATTGCACCATTTCTAATTTGACTCACCGCGCCGGCTTTTCAGACCAAATTTCACCAGGGAGTCACTTGGCAATAGAATTATAGGTGAATTTGATAATTTAAATTACATGAAGAAATTGGGATAAGAAGTTTTTTGATTTGATTTTTGATTATTTTGCATATAAATTTGTTTTCTATATTTGTCGCATCAAAAAATTTGTCGTCGAAAAATGACGAAAATTGCAACAAATATGTATGCATTAATATCGTTTGCTGTATAAATATCAGTTTTTTCAAATGTCGTTATATTATCTTAAAATTTCTTTTAAAGTCTTCGACTCGATTTTGTGTAAAGGGAATTTTGAAGGGAAGCAACTTGAATTAGGGGAGTAGTGATTGAATGGGTGTTGGGAAGAATTTTCCTAGGCAGATTTTAAAATAGAGTAGTTTTCTCCAAATACGCACTCATAATAGCGTAGCAAATTGTTTTCTTCTAACAGCTCTCACCATTACTGCTTAGGCTGGCTGCACTGGCTAGAAGGGCTAGTAGGGAAGGGTCTCCAAGCTGTTCGATCCGACGCCATCGCTAGTTGTAATAGAAGCCATTCCTTTTTCCATCGTCTAACTCCATATATCGCTGGTCCTCCTATACATTCAAAGTCTTTCTTGACTCTATCAGTCCAGATCTTAATTGGCCATTTTCGCTTTTGACGATATCTATCAAAGGGTTTAGCAAGTAACGAAATATGCATCAGCTTCTGCGGTAAACGACGGAGCACTTGCCCTAATTAGCGAAGGCGACGCTCTATGATAACATTATTAATAAAGGTGAAATTTGAGCGAAAATGGATACAATTATGTACAAATTTATCCGCTCGACAGATCCGTAAAATATATCTTAGACATGAGTAATCAAAGGCTTGTAGCTTCTTAATATCTTCCACTCTCATTAGCCATGTTTCGCAGCTATATAGCAAGATCGAGCGAATTGCAGCTATATGGACACGGATTTTCGTTTTTATGGTGATTTCGCTACGTTTCCATAAAGGTTTCATCAACCGGAAAACATATTTCTAGCTGTCGTTGTCCGGGTTACAATTTCATCCTTTGCCATTTGGGATTAGAGTGGATCCAAGGTATTTAAAGTCGGACACTTCCTCAATCAACCGGCAGTGAATTGATAAAAATAGGTATTTTATCAACATCTTGTATATAAGACGAAAACACTTTCGTTTTAATTACATTTATTTTGAGTCAAATTCTCGCTGCAGTTGTTGACATATTGTTCACATTATTTAACATTTTATCCAAAGGGTATTTCATAAAGTATTTCAGATCATATTTATAATGAATAAACTTGTCGCCTACGAAAGTGATGAGGAAGAAAACTCTGAAAGGCGGCGATCACGCGTTGAACCACAGTTTGAAGGTTTTTTTGTTGCGAAATTATCATTTTTTTTCACCACTTTAATTGTTATTAGTAAAGTAATTAAACTGATTCGTTATATAATTTATTTATGTTTTTTTGAGTATCTATATTATTTTTAAAGGTGAAATGTCACCATCTACGAATGATAATGACAGTGATGAGGATGCCGGACGTAGAAGAATCAATTCAGAACATTGGACAAGTTCTTCTTAGAATTTTTTGTGGTCAAAAGGATAAATATTAACTTTTCTTTATTTAGCAACTTGTAATTTGTAGATTGATGTGACTGATTTCTAATTTTCATGTTTTTTTGTTAGTATGTCCGATATTTTAATTCAGGTTTCCCCTTTATTTGTTTATATATTTAATTAAATGATGTAATTCAGGTTTAACATCTGAACTGCTTTCTAGATGATGAAGAAGATGATGAAAGGAATTCACTGAAATCTGGTTCATCATCTAGCAGTGATCTGACTCAACCTCCTCCGCCGAAGCGACGGTCACTGTCCTATTCAGATCACTCTTACCAAAGTGAATTCAGTGTCAAAAATTCTGTAAAGAATGAAACAATACATTCAGCTACATCGGTAATGCTACCTTTCAATCCAAGTAAAAGTTCTTTAGTGTCTTATGGCGCTCAAGATGACGATGATGATGATGAAGACCAGTTTGAGCGAGGTAAATTTTTGTTTTTTGTGGATATTCGATTATTTGGTTGGGAAAGGCTTTTGCAGTTTCGTCTTAACATTTGCCATTTGATTGCCATTTTTTTGCTTGATTTTATAGGATTAATTTCATCAATTATAGCAGATAAACGAGCGAATGCTGCTAGAAATGAATTTTACGGTCAGTTCCGATCAAATTCAAATGAAAGAGAAGTAAAGCCTCCACCACCTCCACCTGGGCACCAGGATTGTCGTTCTCCAGATGAAATTGCGGTCGACAATGCCATCGAACAAGGACTTCGAGAACTTTCCCAGTCAGAAGTGCATGTTGAAGCTTTTTTTTAATTTGGGAATAATTGCTGTTTTATTGGTTTGGTTTCTTCTCTCAGTTTACTCGGTTCTGATTTTGAGGTGATCCTTCCATTAGAGAGTCGCTTGAGGGTATCATCAGTATTATCCGAATTTTATTTGTAATAACTGATTTGCTCATAGACAGGAATCGAAGCACGGTGATTGTCCTTATTCAGTATAATATACGATTCGGTCATCTTGTTCCCTTTGATTTGTTGAAGTAAATACGAAATTAATCCAGTATTAAATTTTATTAAGCATATCTGGCAACATCGCTTGGGTCATTAATCTTTTTTTTCAGCGAAAAAAAATTCTTTACAGTTCAGATGTATAAACATTATAGTACTACCATTCTACTGTTGAATCGCAAAGATCATTTGATGATGCTGATAGTCCTTCAGCAGATGAGACTGAAGTCAAACTTCCGCCTTCACCCGAGGGCAAATGTTCGAAAGAGATAGAGGTCTTTAGCTTTTTTTTTACTGATATATGGAAATGAAATGCGAAATTTTTATATTCGTGATGGAAAAGAATTTAATATTCTTTTCAGGAAAAATTCAAAAATTATTTTGCTCGAAAGGCAAATGGTTTTGATTTGAATTTGGCTATCAAGCGGCGGCGCGATTTCAAGAACCCTTCGATGTATGAAAAATTGATAGAAAAGTTTGATGTTGATGAACTTGGTTCCAATTTTGATAAAACAGTTTTCGATCCTCATGGCTTCACAAAAGATTGTTTTTATGATCGCATTGGTATGCTCTATTAAAAGAAACGCTTAGAGATAAATATTAACTGCTAGAATTTTGCCAATTATTTATTTTTCAAAAATTTAATAAAGAATTTTTGCCGATGTTTCGTTTATCTACCTAACTATACTTTTAAACAAATTTCAGCTGTAGTGCAAAAAGAAATGATGGAAAGGCATAATGCTGCAGCTGAGAAAAAAATTGCACCTGCAGTCCCTACGACGTCAAAGAGTAATGAAGCGAAAAGAAAATCACGTTTTGCTGGAAATAAAAAGCAGTAATGAATATTGTGGTCTTCAGATCTAGATGTTTCGTTTTTTTTACAATAACTTAGCTTATAAGCTTATTATAAGCTTTTTGTTGATCTTAGAGCCCATTAGGAGTATCGCTGTTTTTTTTCTAATAATGAATTTTTTTTTACTGGCAAACAAAATAAATTTTTAATTATTTATAAATTAATGAGATTTTATTTTCTGATTTAAACATCATTTTATAAATTCAAATATCGCGTATTTGCTTATGAATAGGTCATAACCGGTTACTGCGCGTTTAAAAAACAAATTTATTTGATGCATTCTATTTGTAGCAATACTTTTGTTCTTATATTTTTTGTTTTTGAAATTTTTGAAACACTTGATTTGTTGCTCTATTTCTTTTTAGATTTTCTTAATTTGTGTCCATTTTTGATCACTGGAACTATTTAATAATTATTTTTCGGTGATAAAATGTTTCTTTTTTTGCGAGGTTTTCGAGAGGATATGGGTTTCCTCCTTTTAATTCATTGAAAAATATTTCATCATAACAAAAGATCTTTATTCGTTGAAAAGATCAACTTTTTTTCTTAGAATGTTTTGTTAAGTAAACCTGCATTGGTAATCCTGTTATTCTGTATTGTTGTGTGTCGGGGAAAAAAATCTATCCGGAATCGGTTATTTTTCATCGAAATTTTGTTTAACCGTAGTAAGATAATATTTCCTAATATTTGTCGTCGCTCACGGTTTTTTATCCAAATGATTATTTGTAAAAAGCGGTTCATTTCAGAGATTATACAATGGATAGATCTGTCGCTTATGAAAGTGATGAGGATGGAAACTCGGATGTGTTACCAACACCTGATGAAGCAAAACTTGAAGGTTTTTGCACTGGATAATTTTCATATAGGCATTTCACTCAACATTTTAATTTTTATGAAGACTAAGTAATTGGCTGGACAAATATTCATCTTTGTTTATTCATTTCTATCTGTTTATCAGTAAAAGTGCAGTATTTTTTTGAAGATGGAGGAACATATGGCAGTGGTGAAGATGGTAGCGCTGATGAATTTGTTAGACGTAGAAAAAGAAAAAGAACCTATTCAGGATACTGGACAAGTTTTTCTTAAGATTTTTTTGTTCTTTTTCCTAATAGTTGCTTTGCATATTGAACTGATTTCTAATGACTTGTATATACATATTAAAACGTTTTTTAGGTGACGAAGATGATGATGAAAACGATTCATTACGCTCTGATTTATCGTCCTATAGCATTCTCACCCAACCTCCTACGCCGAAGCGACGTGTACTATCCTATTCAGAACGAAAGGAGATGATGGAAAAATACAATGACCCAGCTGAGAAAAAATCTGTAGTAGATAGTCCTTACAATGTTAAAGATTAATGAAACGAAAAGAAAATCGCATTTAGCAGAAATACAGAAATAACGCGCAGTAATGAGTATGGTGATGTTTAGATTTAAATTTTTTTTTTTTTTTCTGTGCTAGATTTCTAACTTCTTTTTTTATAACATCTATGAACTTTTTTATTTTCATTAAATGCAGATTTTCAGTGAGATTTTTTTTTTTGACCAGAATTATTTCGTGAATTCGCATATTGTTTGCGACCGAGTCATGACTGAGCTGCATACTCAAAAAATTATATTCTTTTGTCTTATTCAATTTTTTACTATCATTTTTCACACATATTGAACATTTACATTTTTATCTCTCTTTGTTTTGAAACGAGCTATTTTGCCTTTTTTTTTCTTTTTGAAATTTATTTGTTCATTATTAATCGAATGAAATTGTTTTTTTTTAATAAAGTTTTTTATATAAGGTTTTTCAGAAGGTGGTGGGTGGTTTTTTATCCCTTCAATTTAGTTAAAAATATTTCTTTTCTGCTGAGAAATATCGGCTGAATTCTTTTTAATGAGAATTTTTTGTTAGTTGTCAATTTTTTTTTGTAAATCTATATCTATTAATATACTATATTAATGTTTAATGACTATATTAATGTGTTATGAATTTGTGTCCAAGAAAATTTTATTTATTCTGAATTTGGCCAAATTTCGTTAACATTTTTTCCATTACCCTTTAAGCGTAGTTTTATACTGTAAATCCGTTTATTCCATAGATCTCTTCTAGTCATCAATATTTTTCATCGTGATATTTTTTGTGTAAATGATGGTCGCAAAAGAGTGGTTCTTTCAGGTCTTATGCGCAATGAACAAACTTGTCGCTTATGAAAGTGATGAAAATGACTCTGAAAGACGACAATCAAGAAGCGAAAGACAATTTGAAGGTTTTTTTGGCTTCAGATTTATCAAATTAAAATAAGCGTTTGATTCCATCGTCAATAGTAACGTAATTATTTGACTGGGCGAACAACGAGTTATAGTTTGTCTAGAATATAGTTTATCTTTAGTAACTGTTTGCTTTGTCTTTTCTTTTTTTATAATATTTTTGAAGATATCAGTGACAATGATAATGATGATAATAACTGTGATGGTAGTGATCGGAATAGCAGAAGTAGAAGACGAATCGGTTCAAAACATTGGACAAGTTTTTATTTCCAATTTTTTTTATTAAATCTTGACTTTTCTGGAATTAGGAATTTGTCTATAGTTTTAAAGGTTTAACCTGTTTCAGGCTTTTTTAGATCTGTAATTCAGAATGTTTTAAATCACCCTTTTATTTAATTTACATTTAATCAAGCTTTTATGTAGGCTCCGTTTACGTTTTCTAGATGATGAAGGTAATTCATTAAAATCTGATTCATCGTCTAGCAGCGATGTAACTCAATCTCCTCCGCCCAAGCGACGATCACTGTCATATTCAGATCACTATTTTCACAGTGAATTCAGCGTTAAAAATTCTGTAAAGAGTGACACAACCACATTGGTTATACTACCTTTGAATTCTTGTAAAAATTCTTTAGTGTCTTGTGTTCAAGATGATGGCGACATTGAAAATGAAGATCAATTTGAGCGAGGTAAAATTTTATCTCTTGTCGATCTAATTACTAACAATTACAATTATTATTTGGATTTTTTGGCATTTTTTCCGGTCAGTTTCGGTCAGATTCTTATGAATTTGTCTTATTCATAAGACAAGTCTTGTCAATATGACAATTCATAAGACAAGTTTTTACAGCAGATAAACGGGCAGATGCTTCAAGAAGCGGGCTTTACAATCAATTAGGAACAAATTCAAGCGAAAGAAATATAAGATCACCACCACCTCCTCCTGGACATCAGGATAGTCGTTCTCCGGACATGATTATAATTGATGTTACCGAACAAGATCAAGGACGAGAACTTTCCCAATCTGAAGTACTTATGGCAATTTTTCATCTTCATAAGAATGATTGCTATTTTTTTTATCAGTTTTCTTCATTCACTTTTTCTAAGATGTAGCACCACTCGAATTCATTTTATAAGGATAAGTTTGCTCGTATGGACGTATGATACTTGTACTTAAAACAACTTATACGAAATTGTAATTGTAATAGGAAATTTAAATTTCAAATATTAAATTAAATAAAGTATTAAATTTTCTATCTAAAAAGCCTTAACCTGATTTATCTCTATTTATCTATCATTTTTCAACCAAACAGATTTTTTCATCCAAATATTTGTAGCACTGTTCCACTGTTGAATCGGCCCACTCACAAAAATCGTTTGATATTGCTTATAGTCTTATAGCAGATGAGACTGAGTTCAAGCTTCCATCTTCACCCGAAGGCAGTTGCTCGAAAGAGATAGAGGTTGAAACGTTTTTTTAGATATTCTGATAACTGAAATGAAATGCGGAATTTCTAGATTTGTGCGAATAATTATTGGACGATTGTTTATTCTTTTTTTTCCGTTACAGGAAAAATTCAAAAATTATTTTGCTCAAAAGGAAAATGGTTTTGATTTGAATTTGGTTATCAAACGGCGGCGCGATTTCAAAAACCCTTCTATGTATGAAAAATTGATAGAAAGTTCGATGTTGATGAAATTGGTTCCAATTTCAATAGAACGGTTTTCGATCCTCACGGTTTCACAAAGGATTGTTTTTATGATTTTATTGGTATGTTTCAAAAGAAAGATTGAAGCGGTCAAGGTTATTTGTTTATCTGCTTAACCATACCTTTAAACAAATTGCAGCTGTGGTGCAGAAAGAGATGATGGAAATGCTGCATAATGCTGCAATTGAGAAAAAACCTACATCAATAATCCCTGCAGTGTCTAATGAAGCGAAAAAAAGATCACGTTTTGCTGGAAATAAAAAGTTGTAATTAATGCAGTTTATTGTATTTTTTTTTGATAATATTATAAGCTTCATTTGTGTTTAGGAATATATTAGGTCAATAATTTTTTTCTCCCAGGAAATTTTTCTCTATTTGTAAATGCTATTTTTAATGAGATTTTATTTTCTGGTCGAATCGAATATCAGTTGAAGATTCACATATCGTCTATCTATAAAGTAATCAGTCACTGATTGCATAAGGAATTACAGGTTTTATCATATAATTTCGTAGTAAGATTTGAAGCTCTCGTTATATTATTCATCACATAGCTTCATAGTATTCGCAGCTCACTGAATAATATTTGCGTACAGCTTCGTAATATTCGTTTATAATTTCGTAATCTACAAAAACAGATCGAAATATCTTAATTTTTTCTAAGGTGATCAGGTGGTCGTATAGATATGCAGGGCTATTATCTTTGTCTTCAAGACTCAATTTCATCTGTGAGGCATTTTTACTGAATCTTTTCCATTCTTCATTTAGTTGTTGATCATACCGAATACAGTGTTGCTTATTGGAATACAGTACCTCTACCTCTTACTACCTCTTTTTAGACTATCATTGATCGAATTTCATATCGGTGCTAGCAGATTATTATGGAAATGAGCTTTACGCCAAGGTTCCTTTGCCCTTTGATTGATCACAATTTTAGAAATGGTGAATTTCTAAAATTTCTTAGCTGAATTTTCGACAACTCGGCTATAGATACGTTCTAATGTTATTGAAAAAGTGGCAATTGTTCGATTTCTCAAAGACGATTTTCTAAGGGTTTTTTGGTATTTTGGTTTGTATTTCGTCACTTTTCAAAGGTTTCTACGATGAAATGGTAACACAAACATAAAATATCTATGATCCATTTTTTATTTATTACCTATAATTTTTAATATACATATGCTTTAAAATGAACCATTGTTTTCTGGTCGTTCGACTATTTTTTTAAGTACGAAATTATGTGCAGATATTACGAACGAAAAGATTTCGAAATGTACTGTAAATTCTGTGAAATAAACAAAATTATATAAGAGACCGTGTAATTCAAGAAATGCAAATTTTGTGAATTTTATGCTCCTTGATCCTTTCTTTTATTTGCTTCTTTCTTTTTAAAATGATTTATTTTGATATTTTTTTACCTTTATAAAATTGTGAATTTGTTGATTTCCTGTTCAATGAAATTGTTTATTTTTCAGTGATTAAGTATCTCTTCTTTACGAGTTTTTCGAGAAGTTTGTCGGTTTTTTTTCCTCTTTTTAATTCGGGAAAAATATTTTCTTTTAGCAAATATTCTGGCGCCTTATCAGTTGAATAGATTTAGTTTAAATTGGTAATTAACAAGGATTTTATGATAGTTTTTTCGGTTTTTTTGACAAATGTTCATACAATAATTCTCTATGTTAAATATAAAAAGATATGAAAAAAAAAATCAATCCGTGGAATATCGGATAAATTTTATCTCTGTGCATTTTCCAAGTAAAATATAATAAAATAGCAAGTAAAATAGTTCTATGCTGATAGTTCTATTCATAGTTTTGTGAATCAGCTTCTGTGGAAATCTCTTTACAGCGTTGTTAATATTTTTTTGATCATATACAACCTTTTATACTTTCGAAACTTCTCCACGTTAGCTTCATGGCTTCCTCGAAATTAGTTATATATCCTCTCAATCTTGAAACTGGGGTATATTCATTTAATGTTCCCTTAATAGTAACTATTAGCAACGTTATCGTTAAATTCCTTGAAAGATCATAATTATTTGTTGCGTCGTTATAGTCCTTTCTGCGTTCTTCAGGACTAGTAATCCTCCTCATCTCCAAAATCCTTAATCCTTTTCAATGCCACTTCAAGCGGCGCTGTGCTATTTTCTTAAGGCTGGAATTGGTGATAGAATTCTAATACTTATTAACTCATTATATTCATGTAAAATTGTATGATATAATGTTTCGAACCTAGTAGTACACTTTTGCCGTAACCATAATTATAAGTTATAAAACTACAAAAAGAGGAACGAGGTGATGGAGGATATCGAAGAGAAAATTTGAGAAATTGTAAAAATACCAAAAGAGGGCGTTAATGTCCAAAGGGAATTTAGGATACGTTTTGTTGAAAAGCATTTCGTTGAAATATCAAAGGGTTTGTTTAGATTTGAAAATTATAGGAGAGATTTTTTAACTAGTTTGCAACTAAACGAAAAGGAATTTGCAGAATGCAGATTTTTACTAGAATTTTATTCCTCCATGAAAGCATCGCACGTGTTTGCATTCGTCATTGTGCAAAAAAAGCTAGGTTGGTTGGTCTTTTTTAATGATTTCATTAAAAATTTTATGGTTTACATTTTTGTTAGAAATAGTTGAACAAGATTTTTTGAATTAATTTTTTGTAAAATTTTATTAATGTCTTTTAACTAGTTCATTAGTATATTGATTATATTCATTACGAATTATAATGAACCTATTTCCAGTTCATCTGTTCTTGACGAAAAATTGATACGATCAGCTATTCGTCCTCAGATTCCAGTAAGACTTGCAAGTTTATTCTCTTATCTTGTTAAAAACACTATTCATCATGAACCAGGTCAGTCTTTTTGTGAACTTTTTTTTCGTTTTTTCAACATCACTCAGTAACTTATTGTTTTATTTCTAAAGAATCAAAGCTGATCTCACTATATTATCCTTATAATCAATTGTAAAATTTTCAGGAAAATTTTTAATATTAAGTAAGCCATATGGAGTATCTTCATTAGGTCATAAAGGCGGGAATATATTTAAACCGACTCGATTTGATCGACGAGATGAGAATTTAGAGGAAACTATCGAAGTTGATGTATTACAATTGATAATTTCAGTTTTCATAATTTTTTCCTTTTTTTCTCGACTATTTTCCAATTCTTGTTTATTGGAATTCTCGTGAAAGAAGTGAAATTTCAAAAATTTTACCATTTAAATATTTTCGGCAGAAAACTGCGGTTCAGAGGGACTCATTAATACGATAATATGCACCTTTTTTTGTCAAATATTTTTTCAGCAAAATTTTTTAAATGGATTTCTTTTCATCATTTAATTAATTTGTGAAAATTTCATTGAGAAAATGTGCTTACTATTTTTTAATTTGATTTTAGCAAAATCGTTCTGTTACTATCGAATCTGCGATTCCACTTTTGGCGCAGCATTTTAGAGAGCCAAATTTGATGTTTTGTACAGGTCTAAAAAGGTTTTCCCTCGCTTTTTTTTTGAGAAAATGTTCATTTTTAGTTGAAAAATCTTTATATTATTATCGAAAAAAATTTAGGTATATTACGGGTCCACTTATAATACCTGCAAATAAAAGGGAATACGAAAAAATATTTAGAAGTCACAGAAGATTTTCTAGCATACGGCATCGGGCGCTGTACGTTATTTATATTTATTGTCCTTACTGCTTTTTTTTATTATCATTATCTTATTTTTCTTATTTATCTTATCTTACTTTTTTCTTATAGTGAATCATTTGTTATTTATTACACTTTCTTGAAATATTCATTCTTGAAATTAGGCATCATAATGCTATAACGTTTTAGATAATTCGGATTATAATAGCTAGATTGAGACGTGAATCATGATTCAAGATTTTTATTTTTTCATATTTTATTTGTTTATTTGGTAAAAGTTGTTAAAGATTCCAATTTTTTTGAATTGATTATTTATTATCCATTTTCTGATTTTCTGATTGCTTTCCATGGTTAACTAGTTATTCATATATTGTATCATACACAGTCAATTTTTTTGTTTCTTGTTTTCAGACATTTTCCTATTAACTCAGTCGTAAATGCAATTAAATTGCAGTGTTATTTGTGCTGGTAGACCAATCAGTGATTCTGGTCATATTCAGGGTTATGCGACTTTCCAGAAAGTACGTGATCATAGTGAAGTGAGTTCTTCTTTTTTTAAAAATTGGATTCTAAATTTTTTTTTAAATTTTAGATTCTGCATTGCACTTGTTTTTTTGCTGGTGGGTGTTTACTGTGGCAAAATAAGAGGAGCATATTTTGAAAGTTTTTCGTAATATTTTAAGTAAGCTGTGTGTTACGCAGATTTAAATTAGAATGGGCCAGTATTGTTGATAATATGGTGAAAAGTGAATAAGAAGAGAAGGGGGGTGGGGGAGGGTAGGCAAAAGCAAAATCATTTTAAAAGTTCATGGACTAAATGGAGGCTAAATAGCTCGATCTACTCGTTTCTAATTATTCTCTTATATTATTAATTAAAGCGCACCAGCAAGAAAAATTTATCATTTTGCAGTACATATTCGTAAAAGACGGTGTGGCTAAACCTCGCGCCAAGTCAGGGCAATTTGCTGTTAGCGGTAGTATGGAATATAAGGTTTTAGCAAGTAATTATGGTTGCTCGTTAATTGATATTGAATTTCCAATATGTAAGTTTCTACTATTATTTTATTTCTGATCTGATCTTCTATCGAGGTAAGCGTTTTTCCTTTTCGTATTGTTGCTAAGTTAGGACTATAAATGAATAATGCGCATCTTTCGCCAATTCAAACCAAGAATATATGACAGAAAATTGCATTCTTCCATTTTTCTTTCTTGTTTAGATCGATCGTTTATTTGCTTATTGCAAGATATTAGTGAATAATGTGTTCGTAAAACGCCCCTATCTATAGTTTCTCATCTACCTCGGAAACTTTTGTACCATTTTTTCACAGTGATATTTCATTTTCTCGATATGGAGTCGAACCACAGATATTTAGGTTGTCGAACTCTGTCAAGTTCGCTGTATTGATCTATACTTTCTTATATTCATAGAGTGAGCTTAAGCTTATCTACGTAATGAAATACTTAGTCCAAAATTTGTCACACCTCATTAATACTTGTCAAAACCACCATAAGTTAGTGGTTTATCATGCCTTGCTGTTTTTTGCAATATCCTTTTATTATTACCAAATGCTTCTTCACATAAGCCTTTATCTTTTGGACACCACGTTGTTTGATAAGCCTGTTTATTCCAAAAAAACGTGATTTTTGTTCAAAAAAAGTGCGATTCCGATCTCATCCGGTCATTTGATATAAAGCTTTATGAAAAACATCATCCAAACCTCGTTAAATATTGCCTCTTTGTATTACCTCTTTTACTTTGTACATATTTTATCTTCCCATATTTATTTTATTTCCATATATTTTATCTTTTACACTTTTGCCACAATCCATTTGTAACATTTTGGTGGATCTCATTCCTTTTGCTCGCTTGGACTTTGATAAATTCTTTGATATATTAGGCTTCTGAAGTGCCATTTTCATTTTTTCCCATCCACAGCCAAAAATTAGAGGTTCAGAAAGATGGTGAAAACTGGGTAATACTGGGAGGATGCAATGGAAAATGTTAGTGATAGAGAAGAGAAATAGAAGGCAAAGAGGGAAGGGATGTTGTGGGAAAATAACTAGATTGGCGTTTGGATACAATATAGCAGAATTCGAGAGTTAAGGGAATGCAAGTTTTGAAATGTCAAGGAATATACCTCTGTTTGAAGGTAATTCTCTTTTTTTTTCGTTATTATTCCTCTTTATTTTTACTTTTGATCCTATTGTTTACTATTATCTTTTATGCACTGTAAATTATTTCAATTTAAGTTTGCAGTCATTAAGTTTGTATAGTTAATCGTCATCTTCCTCGTTTGATGCTCACGGAATTGTTATCTCCGATTTTGGGCGATCCTATATATATGCAAAGAATAGTAGAAATCGACTCTACACCTACGTTAATCGAACCGAAGCAACTTTATCGAACAAAACACATTAAAGTAAGTCGTCCATTTGTAATCAGTTTTAGTAAATTGGAAAGTTTTTTGCAGAATGTCTGTAGTTTTTAAATGGCATTGCTGACTTTTTCCACTTTCTTAAAATTTTGGAGAAATTATTTGGGAACATTTCTAACGAACTGCTCATCGAATGTTTTCGAATTTTTTTTTTTTTTCAGCGAAGCTTTACAGAATTAGAACATCGTCTTTCTTTGAAGAATTCGGATATTTACACTTTACTTCCGATGTATTTTCATGTTTACAGAACGATATTTCCTAGCTATGAGATATATTTTGAAGAGCGACAAGATTTGGTTGCGTTTTCTCTGCTACCTTGTAATATTTTTTTTACATGGATAGATTATAAGTTAATTAAGGGTCTGCAATAGCTATTAAACTTAAGATGCTTAAGTCAGTTGGAATAGTTCATCTTTTTAGAACGGAAATAAGCATATAACTCAAGTAATAAGTGAAATGAATGACTGCAATGTTTCATGTAAAATTTATAGATTTATCAATTATCAATCTTTCTGAATACTGGTTGAAACAAAACAAAAATGAATGAAATAAAAATAAAATTATTATTTTTAGCCCATATGACAGCTATGCTTCGTTGTCTCAATTTTACTACTGCAACATCGCGTCATTTGAAATCCGTTGCCGAAGAAACAGCCGATATGCCTTTAAATATCGCAGATGAAACTTGTTTTACCTTATGAAATGTATGCGATATGCGATCGTCTTCATACTTCACTGTGAACAAATTCTGAGAACCCATTTTCCTGCTAAGTTATCTTTACCATGCATGATTCGTCGATAGATGACGGAATGGTGAATTGTTTCTTATTTTGTGGGAGATACAGCTGATTATTGTTCACTTTATTCGTTGATTTGTTTTCTAATGATTCTATTTGTTTTCTTAATTTCTTGGTTTAGTTGGATTTGTTGAAGATCTTAACAGATGATATATATATTATTCTCAGTTTAGATTATTCTTCACAATTATACATTCTAACCTTGTGTAATTCTTATAATCATTTCAATAAAAATTGCTAAACCATAGCAGTAGCCATAGTTCAAACAGGAATATATTTTATGTAAAGCCTATCAAAAGATTTGCAGAAGTAATTTTAAATTTTTTTCTAAGAGCACTCATCATTTCCAATTAAGCATGATCTTTTGGTTTAAAGAAATTTTGAGAATCATTTAGAATTCTTGGCGATAGGTGATTAGCCAACATTATCCCACACTATCTGAAAGAGAGATTTACTTTTCCCTAGAGTATATGCCGAACATCAGCTCTCCCAAACTCGTCTCATTCGTCGATGGAGATTGTCGTTTCATCGCTAGCTTGAAATTTTAAGATTGTAAGAAGAGTGGCAGTGTTTAACACCGTTTTTGGAGCAACTCGGATGGTACATTAGAGAAATATTTAAATATGCAGAAATATGCATATGGTATGGTAATGCTACACAAATGGGTCGTTCAAGATATGCATGATGATCATAGTAGTTATGGCTATTAAGATGGATGCGATAGTCAAGCTGCTTAAGATAGTTTACCTATCGGTTCAATAATTGTGATAGAGTGGGTCGTATAAAAGATCGAGGTAATGCTTATGGTGAAAATCATGAATGTATGATAACATTAGTTGATGCAAACGAGTGCCGAGATGCTTAAACGGATCAATAATATTTATTTACAAACATTCCCTGGAAGTGATCAGCAATTACCATTCGGTTTTGCATGATGTAAATCGAATGTTGCACATAATCAAAATCATGGAAGTAGCGGACATGGTGGTTTCAGCGGGCAGGTTTTGGTGGAGACGGTCTATGACCTATGACGGTCGTCAAACTGATGATTATCTAGATGACTGAAGCGATCGATACAAAAGTCGCGGAAGATATGACAGACGTGTGTATTTGGATCGTAGAAGTTACAGTGATTACGGCAACAAGGGTGGTTTTGATGATGGGCTGACCGAGGAGAACGTGGTGATTTTGGTGACAGAGATAGTCACAGTGGCAAAAGTTCTTTCGTTGGCCCTCAGGATGATTTTTCAGTGACTCATTATGATTTTGCTATTGCTTCGGCAGTCGAGATGGGCGTGAAGATAGGGGAGATTGAGCGAGAGGACATGATACTGGTGCAAATATGGGAAAACAACCGAATAATTGAATCACCTGGAAAATTCAATCTTAATTTCCGACAAGAGCTCAGTTGATATCGTACTCCTGGAGGAAGAGATGTTAGTTTCAATGCCTAGAGGCGCAATGGGATATGGAGAAGGATGGGAAGAATGATGAGGACTTTCGCTACTATATTAAAACCATATTTGAACAACTGAGGTATCATTTAAAATTCTATAGTAGGATTAACTGCTCTACGCTAACCTCACTTTTTCTTAGGTTTTTAGTTTATCTTGCTGAAAACTCTGGAAATGAATAAATGATTTCAAGTGCTAAGTAAGGATTGTTGAACGACCTTGTATAGTTTATGATCTCAGTTTCATGGTTGCTTTGTTCTTATTCTAACAGCTCTCGCTATTACTGTTAGGCTGTCTCCAACGGCTACAAGGGTAAGACTCTTTAAAACGCTTCCAAGCGGCGCGATCTGATGCCATCGTCGACAATAATAGAAGCCATTCCTTTTTCTATCGTCTAAGTCCATATATTGCTGGCCCACCTATAAGTTCAAAATCTTTTTTGACCGCATGAGTCCAGGCTTTGGTTGGCCCATCTCACTTTTGACGCTAACCATCACATGGTTTAGTAAGCAACGAAATATGCGTCAACTCCTGTGGTAGATGACGGAGAATGTGTCCTCACCAGCGAAGGCGACGGTCTGTGATAGCATTATTTATGCAAGTGGTATTTGAATGAAGGTGGATGTAATCATGTGATATCTTATCCACTCGACAGATCCGTAAAATACCTTAGACAAGAGTGGTCAAACGCAGATAACTTCATAATATCCTCCACTCTCATTAGCCATGTCTGAGAGCCATATAGCAAGATCGAAAGAATCACGGCTATACAGATGCGGACTTTCGTTTTTATGGTGATTTCGCGACTGCTCCATAAAGGTTTCGTCAACCGGAAAAATGCATTTTTAGCTACCGTGATCCGGATTATAATATCGTCTCTTGCTTGGCCATTTGGTATTAGAGTGGACCCAAGGTATTTAAAATCGGGTACTTCTTCAATTGGCAATGGATTTACAACCGGTTGCTTTGTTGAATTAGCTTATTTCATTTCCTGATTTTTAAAATGTTAATTTTTCTTACTTTTTCGATAGGTTTAATATTTGCAGGTTTTTGCAAAAATTTCCCCATATTTTTCTTATTTCATTCGTAGCCATATTTAATTTTCAGCGGAATTTAAATGGAAACGAGAATATTAATCACTGATCACTGATATTATTAAATAAATTTTTAACCAGGTAGAATCGCTTCGCAAACATATTGTGGTTGAAAATAGGTAAAATTATAGTGTAAGGAATACATACCAAATAAAAATAAGTGTAATAGGTGTGCTAGTGAAGGACGCTGTTCCATAGACTTATTTTCGTAACAAGAAATATCAGCAGTTCCAGCTCTCCTTATCGGCTTAGCTTTCTTCAATTCTAAATCAGTAGCAAAATGATCGAAATGATATTTCTTCGGAAATGTTTGATAGAGGATTATATATTGTTGAAAATTATAAGGAAAAATTAAATTTGCAATATTTCATCCATTTTTGGAATAAATTTGTCGAAATTTTCCGTCATTTTAGTTTAATTTTGGAACTTTCATTCCATCTTTTGCGCTAATTATGCAATTTTTACAAAAATCTCCAATAGTTCAGTTGATCATTATGTTTGTGTTAAATTATGTCAAAGTCCTCAGCACATATGAAATGGTTTCTATAAAATTGTTAAAAATATGTTGTTTTCAAATGTGATTGCCAGACAAAACTGATGAAGCGTTTAAGCGGAACTGCTTAAAGGAAGATCCTTGTATCCTTCCTGTTAACCCGAAAGCTTTTGGGTCGCAAAATCAGCTCATGTTTGATGTTATATAATTTACTCTAAGAGTTCCGAAGCTTATGTCCACTTCTGTCAAAGAAGCATTTCAGCCGATAACATTTTTTTCAGCCGATCCCTAAGAATTTTTATTTTATTTATAAAGATAGTACATTATATAATCTGAACTAATAAAAAAAATGAAATTTTTGACAACTAAATACACTTTTTGAAATGTTAAAAATTTGGAAATTTACAAGGTTTTCAGTCAAGAAGGAATTTATATATAAGATTTTTGGATGCTCATCTGGCTGAAGCTTTTTGTTCTTGTGCGATTTTATCAATTCCAAGAGAATTTTCTATTAAGGCCCTCCATTCCTTGAGGTTTATTGATTCATGCTGTCTTCGGAAGATAAAAGAAAGAAATAATAAAAAGCGTTTCTTTCTTCTAACATCTCTTACCATTATTAATTAAGCTGGTTTGGCTGGCTACAGGGGTTTTCAAGCTGATCTGATGCCATCACTGATAATAATAGAAGCCATTCCTTTTTTCACCATCTAAGTCCATACTGGTCCTCCTATACATTCAAAATTTTTATTGATGGCCCACCTCGCTTTTAACGCTAGCTATCACAGGGTTTAGCAAATAATCAAACATGCAACTCTTGTGATGGTTGGTGAAACCTGCTCCAACCACCGAAACCTGTTTTCTGATGGTAATGTTAATGCAAGCGGTATTTGTGCGAAGATGGATGTGAGATTTTGTGCGCTCGATGAATCCGTAAAATGCATCTTAGAGATGAGTTGTCAAATGGAGATATCTTAATATTATCCATTCTCATTGGCCATGCTTCGCAGACATATAGCAAGATCAAGTGACTCCGGCTATACAAACATGGACTTTCACTTTGATAAGGATTTCGCGACGGTTCCACAAAGGCTTTGTTAACCAGAAGAACGGATTTCTAGATACCGTTATGCGGGCTGCGATTTCGTCATTCCTTGGCTTAGCGTTTAGAGTAGATCCGAGATATTTAAAGTGTGGCAATTCCTCCTCCGGCAATGAATTGATAAAATATATTTTATCAGATTCTTCTATATATGACTAAAAGACTTCCGTTTTACTTTAAGTCCGATTCTTACTGCAATTGTTGACACATTATTTAGCATTATTTGCATTTCATCATGTGTCAGCTAAAAGGACTACATCATGAGCGTATTCAAGGTCTGTGATACTGTGCTCTGGACTGATACACCTCTTGAGTGCCGACAAACGATGTCCATTATCCAGTCTAGTTGAATATTGTAGGAGAAAGGACTTAGTCTTGTCGAACACCAGTTTTTATTTCGAAGGAATCTGTCAGTTCCTCCGTATACACAGATCTGCGCTGACGTACGCTAATAAAATGTCTTTATGAGGAGAAGGATCTTCTCTGGAACACTGTCTCGTTCCATCACCATCCAAAGCTTTATCAATTGAATCAAAGGCCGCTGCAAAATCGATGAAACAACTCGCGGTAAGTCGCTGATATTTGAAGCGACACCTTTCTTGGCATAAATATCTGATCAGCTCAACCACATACCTGTTCAAGCTTGATTAGGGCGCTGCTAACTCGCATTACCATAAGTAGAAAGTAAGCAAAAATCTTCCCGGAGTCGTCTAGTAAGCTGATTCCTCGATAATTGTCGCAGTATGTCCTATCATCTTTTTTGG